GATGAGAAAATACCCCAAGATATTGACTGAAGGACCCATACTATTCATCTCAGGCCTCGGTAAGGGGATAAAGCTGACTCAGGGCTATACCACCAAATTGCAGGTGGGGTTCATACAGTGCTTTTCCATACAAGACCCCTCCCCTCCTCATAGAAATCTATAGATTTATACAAAGTGTTGAAATACTGTTGACAGTTAGGGTTGCCAGCTCCCGATGGGGGCGGGGTTTCCTCCACTTTCTGCCCCCCCCAATCCACTGGCCAGGAGTCTGATGGAGGTGAGCCCCACCCCCAAAGACCCTTGTCATGCCCAATGTGCCCAGCATGATGACGTCACCCGGAGGTGATGTCATCAAACCGGGCACGTTGTGCAGGGGGCACTCTAGTGTGTGGGTAAAAACTCTATGGTGACCATCGAGTTTTTAACCCAAATGCTAAAGCGTCCCCCACCCAATGGGCCCAACATGATGATGTCACTTCTGGGTGACATCTCCACAGCGTGCATGCTTCGCACACGCGCCAAAGGACTCCAGGAGCCAGGCTGGAGCCCCCCACTGGAACCCAGGTAAGACCTGGCAGCCGTATTGACAGTCTATAACGCGGGTCCCCAATCTGAGGCCAGATGGGCTTTTGGTCCAGCGAGGCTTCTGACCAGCCACTGGAGATCTGACCGGATGTGCAGATCTTTCAAAATGCTGCTTCGGCAGCCGCCGCCACAGCAGCACAAGGATCTTTATTGTGTAACCGAAGGGGAGGATGCAAGAAGATATTTTTGAAAGTCCGTTTTAAAAGGCATCCTGTTAAATAGGTCTTATGCCTGAAATGCTCAAGAATTACTGTGGGAGTGAATGCCTAATCTAACCCCCCGACATTTTGTGGCCGGCTCTGCCTCCTGCAGCAGGTGTTTTGAGGTTGCGCCCATGAACCTGTGTCAGAATTCCAAAGGTGTGCACAGGGCTGGCCCGTAGGTACGGTGGGACTATTCGGGGCTCCACCTTCCCTTTCTTAAAGGGACAGCCCCACAAGATTTTCTCCAGAAAAACCTTTTTTAGTCATTTTTAAACATTTCTTTAAAGAAGAAGAAGAGACTGGATTTATACCCCCCCTTCACTTGGAGTCTCAGAGCGGCTTACAAACTCCTTTCCCTTCCCCTCCCCACGACAGACACCCTGTGAGGTGGGTGGGGCTGAGAGAGCTCTTGACAGAAACTGCTCTTTTTCAAGGACAGCTGTGCCAGAGCTTGTGACTGACCCAAGGTCATCCAGCCAGGTGCAAGTGGAGGAGTGGGGAATCAAACCCGGTTCTCCCAGATTAGAGTCCGCTCACTTAACCACCACACCAAACTGGCTCTCACACCAAACTGGGTTAAAGGCATGCACGGGGGGTGGGGGTGGAAAACAAAGTGCAGGATGGATTCTTCCTTCCCTATGCTCCTTCCTCCGGGTGAACTCTTTCTTCCTGGGAAGGTGTTGTGGGGGAAGATGGCGGAATAGACCCCCTATAGAGATGGGAGAATGGCAGTATAGACCCCCCTACCTGTTCACACAGACAGAAAAATAATGGCTGCCCCACCAGAAAACGTTTTGCCCCACAAGCCACAAAATCCTGGCTAGGGCGCCGGCCCAGGGTCTGAAAGGCAGGGACCTCTGATCTCTAAAACAGGAGCGTCACGAATGAGAGTCCTAATCTAGCCTTTTCCCTGTCAAGTTAGTTTTCTTTCTGTAGGCTTTTTTTTTTTTTAATAATCATGGGAGACTCTCTGATTATGTGAGTTCAATGTTCCCTCTAAGCTGTGGAGTCTTGTGAGCAAAAATTCTACTTTGTGAGCTACTGGCATTAAAACTGTGAGCGAGCAACTTGGCTACTGCATAAATGAGTTTGCTCTGGGGCCATACTTCCTGAGTTGAGACAAAAATGTGCGAGCCGGAGGCTAAAAAAACTGTGAGCTAGCTCACACTAACTCAGCTTAGAGGGAACACTGGTCCCCAGCATCAGTCCAAAGCTCTGAGCCAATGAGAACTGGGCCTAGGACAAAGACACCCTTTTGGGGCTTGTTAGGGTGTTGTTAGGGAGCTGCGGTGGCTCAAGGGGTTAAGACGCTGAACTGCAGGCTGTGGAAGGTCAGTAGTTCAGCAGTTTGAGACCCGAGTTGCCGCATGACGGAGTGAGCTCCCGTCTTTAGTTCCAGCTCCTGCCAACCTAGCAGTTCGAAAGCAAGGATTTGCAAGTAGATAAATAGGTACCCCTTCGGTGGGAAGGTAACAGCGTTCCGTGCGCCTTGGTGTTTAGTCATGCCGGCCACATGACCACGGAAACGTCTTCGGACAGCGCTGGCTCTTCGGCTTTGAAACGGAGATGAGCACCGCAATCCTAGAGTCGGACTCGCCTGGCTTTTGAGCAAGGGAAATCTTATAAAATGCTGCTTCGGCAGCCGCCGCCACGGCGACACAAGGATCTTTATCGTGTAACCGAAGGGGAGGATGCAAGAAGATATTTTTTAATGTCCATTTTAAAAGGCATCCTGTTAAACAGGTGTTAGGGTGTTATGGGTGAGAAAGCTCACTCCGAAAAGAAAACCAGCGAACGGCTGCGCGGGTGAAAGTGAGCGGATGGGTTTATTTGTGCAAATCCAATATAAAAAACATTTTTAAAAGCAAAAGAGAAAAGACCCTAATACTGAGGGAGGATGGGTACAGCAAATGGATGACTGTTGAAAAGTATTCTCTGTATTTTAGGAACATTTTCGGGATCGTGGAAAAGACCCACACACACACACACACACACACACACACCCTTTTCCAACATGTTTTTCCAGAAAGCTGTGAAAACGTTCGCGGGTTGATTTATGTTGCTCTTTTTCACTCTCTCCCAGTCTGACTGGCCACGTCCCATGATGAGGTCATCCTAGTCACAACATGATTGCGTGTTGCTTGGCTGGGATCATCCACGCGGCCAATTCAGAAGGAAGCAAGAAGGGGTCGTGTCAAAAGAGTGGTTCTGAACACGCAAAGAAAGAGGGGGAAGGTTGTCAGCAAAGAGGACGAACAAAGGCGAATAGTCAGTCAGTTCAAGAGGTTGAAGGGGAAACTTCCCGCTTGGCAAGTAATTATTATTCTTAATCATAATAAGTGGGAGAGTATTTGGCACAGTCCTAAGCAAACGTCCTCTGTCCGCATTTCTGTGGGGAAAAGGAGGAGGTGGAGTACCGAATGGCGGCACAGACAGGGACGCGGGCAACCCACACCCAGGGAGCTTTGTACACAAGGTGCCCTTCTCATTCCAAGCAAGAACTTCAGAAGCGGGATGGCACCGGATCTTCCCTAGGGGTGCCAGCCTCCAGGTGCGGTCTGGGGATCTTCCGGAATTACAGCTCATCTCCAGACTGCAGTTCCCCTGGAGAAAATGGCCGCTTTGGAGAGTGGACTCTGTGGCATTGTGCCTAGGGCTGCTAGGCCCCACACTGGACATGGGGGATCCCCTGTCCCTGCTGCCCCCCACTGCCGATCAGCTGGCCAGTGGAGGGGACATACCAAGAGTAGGAGGGAGGCCCAGGCTACATTGCCAGCAACGTGGCAATGTCACTTCCAGCATGTACCAGAAGTGAGGTCATCATGTCAGCAGGGCTGGCTCACTCACTAGGCGATCGCCTAGAGCGGGATGGCCCTTAGGGGCACCAAACTGCACCCGGCCCCGTACTCTGGGAGTTTCTTGATTATTTGTGTTTTTCATTCTTTCTAAAATGCATTTATTTTTGAAAATTGGTGGGTGCACGGGGGGGGGGGCATAAGGGATCCTAGCCTAGGGTGCAAAATAAGCTGGAGCGATGACTGGGCGAAAGATTTATGCGATCTGAAGAGAAACCAGATGACTGGGTGATGCTCTGGTATTTGGGCAAAAACTCTATGGTAGAAGCCATTTTTTTACCATAGAATCTTGTCCAAATGCCAGAGCATCGCTGGGACATTCCAAGGTGATGATGTCGTCACATCACTGGCGACGTAGCCTGGGCCTCCCTCCTGCACCTGGTCAGTCCCCCCATCCTTCGCCAATTGCCAGGAGGTCCCGGTCCTCCTGAAGCTCCACCCCCCAATTTCCAGGAGTTTCTCAACCTGGAGTTGGTAACCCTACTCCTCCCTGTGCCCTTCTGGTGGCCAGGAGTAACCTGGCAACCCTAATTGCCCCCATGTTGGGATTTGAGGAGAAGATCCATCCGTGAAAGGAACCTATTGGCTGATGGCTGTTGATCTCATTCTGTATTTTAAAATGAATCCATTCTTAAGACATTGTGGGGTAGGATGGCCAAATAAGCACACAAATATCAACGTGGTAACCTAAAAGATAACTAAATTAAAAGATAAAAATAACTAAAAGGAGCTGCGGTGGCTCAAGTGGTTAAGACGCTGAACTGCAGGCTGCGGAAGGTCAGTAGTTCAGCAGTTCGAGACCCGGGTGTTGCATGATGGAGTGAGCTCCCATCTCTAGTTCCAGCTCCAGCCAACCTAGCAGTTTGAAAGCAAGAAATTGCAAGTAGATAAACAGGTACCACTTCGGTGGGAAGGTAACAGCGTTCCGTGCGCCTTGGTGGTTAGTCATGCCGGCCACATGACCACGGAAAACGTCTTCGGACAGCGCTGGCTCTTCGGCTTTGAAACGGAGATGAGCACCGCAACCCTGGAGTCGGACTCGACTGACTTTCGAGCAAGGGAACCTTTACCTTTTAACCTAAAAGATAATCATTCCAAAAGCTGGGCAGCTGTCCTGAAACACAGGGGAAGGGAATGACTGAATGGTGCATTAGCCTTTGATCGACTGATATGAATATCTGTCAATCATGTGAATTTTGAAGTGTAAAGAAACCGGGCTCACACCTGGGGGAATAAGGTTGCCAACACCAGCTTGGGAAATTCCTGGAGGTCCGGGGAAGGAGAGAAATGTAAGGCAACAGAGTCCGCCCTCCAAAGCAGCCAGGGGAAATTATCTCTGGATACTGGTTGTGATTCTGGGAGATCTCCAGGCCCCACCTGGGGGTTGGCAACCCTACCTGCTGTTTCCTCTCTTTTGATAGGTTGTCTGCCCTCACCCATAGCAAGTAAAGTCATCCCATGCAACCGGATGCCTGGATTACTGACAGACCAAACAAGAAAAGGACAAATGTTTATTTTGCATCAGTTCTGTGCTTGGCACCTAGAAACAGAGTTCCCTGTGTAGGGCAAATCTTTATACATTTTCTTTCAATATATATTTTACATACCCATTTATTGCCCTCTAATATTCATAATATTGAGTTCCCCTCCCCCCGCACGCTAGAAACATAAATACATTTATCTACAAACACCTCAAAACAAATCTCTATACTGTAGCTTCTGCATTCCTTTACTTGTCATTCGCAATTTCACACGGCTTTTTATTGCTTAGCTTGTAAGAAGCGTCACTCGCCTGCTTACTTTTAGAAGGCTTGAAGGAAACATAAAGCCAGAAGGGGAAATTATTATTATTATTTTAAAAGGCAGTGATGTCTTAGCTCGGCTGGCAGGGTGAGTTAGGGCTGCTCCTGAGGTGAATGGCGGCCATTTTCCTCATCCTCTGGTGCAGGTATGCAAAATGGCTGGCCTCAGGCCAGGCATTCTCACCACATTTATTGTCTGCCCACTGCTTGACATGAACTCAGTTGGGCAACTTCTTCCCTTACGGGCTGTATATATTCTGAAAACAGCTGGCCCATTGGCATGGCTAACTTTACTTTGCCTAGCAACGGCTTTAAGGCACTGAGGGTACAACTGAACGCCCTGTCCCCTAATGCAGCATTTCCAAAATGGAATCCTACGACTCTCTTCATAGCTGAATAGGTTTAAAGAAGCATTTCACCTGTAGAGGTGAAGGAAAGTTTTGTCTGGTTACTCACCCCTCCCTTTCTCTCATTCATACATACTTCCGTGAGGGGGGGGGGGAATTGACTGTTCTCATGGGGAAGAGCAAAAGAGCTCTTCTTCAAAGGTAAAAATCTCCCCCCCGGAAGAGAAATTTCAGTTCAGGTATAATGTTCTGTTGCTACAGTGGGCGAGAGAAGGCCACAGGATTGGAATTCATTACTGCAGACGGCAAGAGAGGGAACCGCTAGTGACAACACAACGGCCTCTCACGGGCTGTGCGGCTTCGTAAGCCGAGGTCATTATGGCTTGCTCGCATCCGGGAAACACAGAAGGAACTGCGCACACACTGCACTTCCTCTACTGTGAACAGTTCACACCACGCTCAGATGATTATTGCATATGCTATATAGGGGCTCCCCCCCTCCCGTTTATTGCAAATGATGCCATTTTCTCTGTAAAAAAAGAATCCACTGGGACAGAAGCCAGTGAGCCACGCGAGGTAGCGGTGGCGGTCGTGCCCACAGCTCTCGGTCTGGTTCTTTGGGTTATAGCTATAGATGGCTTGCATTTCCGTACATCGCTCGAAGACTAGTCCTGTTTTAACTTGCAAAAGCAACGGGGAAGAGGGTGCCAAGATCAACCATGAGGTTCTCACTCCTCCGGGGACGACACCGAGCACTGGTTAAACCATGTGCACTGGCATTTGTGAAGAAGACCCCGGTACGGCCCCATACTGTCTGTTATCGCAGGCGTTGGCCATTGGTTGGCTGTTGCCCGGAGGACTGCTGATCACGTGCATCCCATGATCCATGCCTGTTGAAAGATACTGCCTCTCTCCAAAAGTCCCATTGGAAGGCGAAGAGCAGAGTAAAGTGCTTTGGGTGGCGGGCAGTTTCTCGGGGCTTCCCGTCAACCTTGGAGAAGCGGGGAAATTGTATCCATACAAGTTGTAAGGATTGTGGAGGGAAAAGGCGTTGTAGGAGCTCTGCTGCATGTGGCCGCCGCTGAACATGTGGGAGGAAGAAGAGGTGGAGGCTGGGTTGCCAGCTTGCATGACATACTGGAACTGAGAGGCTGGGAATGACCCCAGCTGGCCGCCGTAGGCTTCCATCTTGCCGTTGCAAAAAAAAATTCCTGAGATCAAGGATGGAGTCCGCTGAGGCAGGAAGTTTTCAGAAGGCTGAGTGGCAGAGGCAGTGCTGCTTTGGAGCCGGTTGTATCCACTCTCGCTCAGCCCCGGGTAGCTCTGCAGGGTCGCCATGTTGCTTCGGGCGCATGGAGGATAGTCGGAGATATTCAGGTTACAGAGCTGACTCTCCCGGCAGCCGACATTGAAAGTGTTGGGGGCCAAGTGAAAGGCTGGGGGGGAACATGATGGAGAGAGAAGGTGAGAAGATGCAGAGGGCGAGGGAGTCCCAGTGCTGGAGGTTGTCGGGGAAGTGCCCGTGCTGCCCCCTGGAAAAGACAAACAACACTGCTGTTAACAGGTTCCCCAATATACAATGCAAATCCATAGCCCTTTCTCAGTGCATTTGGATCATTTCCCCCTGTATTAGGGTTGCAGAGATGACATGCAGAGTCTTGGGAATGAATGGAATATGGAGTTAAACCACCCTATTTTGCCAAACCAACAGGATATATGGTCTTAAAGTTTATACCTGCTCTCTCCATGGATCTTAAGTTGAGACTTATTCAGAAAAAAAATGATGTTTAGGATACACTGGGCATCACAGTGACTCTTTAGGAAAGAAATGAGTAAACTGTTTAATTGTTGGCGTTGTAACTTGTAGCTCGCAGGATGCTTCCCTTAAACATATACAATGTAAACGGATACCTTGTTTTCATAAAATCTTGCACTTATCTACTTGTTTCCTAGAGCCAGTTTGGTGTAGTGGTCAAGTGTGTGGACTCTAATCTGGGAGAACCGGGTTTGATTCCCCACTCCTTCACTTGCATCTGCTGGATGACCTTGGGCAAGCCGTAGTTCTGATAAGAGCTGTCCTTGAAAAAGAGCATTTTCTGTCAAGAGCTCTCTCAGCCCCGCCTACCTCACAGGGTGTCTGTTGTGGGGAGGGGAAGGGAAAGGAGTTTTGTAAGCCACTCTGAGACACTTTTGGGTGTGAAGGGCAGGGTATAAATCCAATCTCTTCTCTTCTTCTTCTATTTATTAGTTTTAATATTTCTCCTCAAATCTTCAAAATTGTCTACAGTTATGCAGAAATAGTTATTGTTTGTTGATACAATGTTTTTTGTTTTACCACTTCAGTAGTTCCAAACAGTTCCAAATTTCTCACTTAAGTCCAAGATATGTTTATTACATATATACTGAAATGATACTCTGATCTGTACTGAGCAATGTATTGTGATTCATTTAGCACGCTATAACTCTGTACATACTTTATGAATATACTCATGATGTTATTGTAACAACACATGTTAATTGTTACTTGATAAAAATAAAAAATAATAATAATTTTAAAAAACATACGTTGGTCATGTCCAGTCATTTGGTTTTTCTGGGAAGACATTATTGCTCATATCATTTTTATTAAAATGTTCATTGATTTTTGAGGAAGCTTATGTACTTTCAAACTGATCTACTCGACTCTTGGAGGCTATTACAACAATGGAAAGATAAACGCCCACCTCTGGTAAATCAATGCTAGGTTGGCAGGAGCTGGAACTAGAGACGGGAGCTCACTCCGTCATGCGGCACCTGGGTCTCGAACTGCTGAACTACCGACCTTCCACAGCCTGCAGTTCAGTGTCTTAACCACTTGAGCCACCGCAGCTCCTATTTAACATGGTAGTGACCTACAAAAAGAGCCCTGTAAGACTCAGGATGTAAGGAAGGATTTGGGTACCCTTTCTTGGAAAGAGCAGTTGGTTGCCCCAAGGACAGCAACAAGTTTAGGGAGGAGTAAAGAGTATGCGGTGGCTCAAGTGGTTAAGATGCTGAACTGCAGGCTGTGGAAAGTCAGTAGTTCAGCAGTTCGAGACCCGAGTTGCCGCATGACGAGTGAGCTCCCGTCTCTAGTTCCAGCTCCTGCCAACCTAGCAGTTCGAAAGCAAGAAATTGCAAGTAGATAAATAGGTACCACTTCCATGGGAAGGTAACAGCATTTCATGCAACTTGGTGTTTAGTCATGCCGGCCACATGACCACGGAAACGTCTTCGGACAGTGCTGGCTCTTCGGCTTTGAAACGGAGATGAGCACCACAACCCTAAAGTTGGATTCGACTGACTTTCAAGCAAGGGAACCTTTACCTTTACCTAAAGAGTATGGGACTTTGAATGGGGGGCAGGGGGACGAGACAGTGTTCTCCATTGTTGGTGATATAATATAGCATGGAACACAGGGGACACATAGCATAGTTATATGCACATATTCTTTACAACTGGCTTGTGGCCCATGCCTATAGCGTTGCCACCCTCCAGATGGACATTTCCCACTATTACAACTGATCTCCAGATGACCAAGATCAGTTCCCCTGGAGAAATTGGCTGCTTTGGACGGTGGCCTCTGTGGCATTAGACCCTGCTGAGGTCCCCTCCCCTCCCCAGGCTCCACCCCCCCAAATCTCCAGGGATTTCCCAACCCAGAGCAAGCAACCCTAGCACATTAATAATTCTCCATTACATTGAAACCATGGTGCGTGTGTGTGCGTGTGTGTTGGTAGATTGGTTTGTTGGGATTAAATTGTGTCAGCAGCGAGACATTGCTGAATGTCTTAGTTTCGGGGCTGGTTTTTGGAGTCATGGCTGCAGGGAGCGAGGACGCAGAGATGGGGGGAATTGTTCGGTCCGAATATTTTGCAGGTGATGACGGCCGATGGAAGCCAGGGATGGAAAGCCAAATAGTGAGCCGGGGGAACCCGAAATGTCACTGCGTTTAACCAAGTCTCTCCAAGCACACAGCGTTCTCTTCCAAAGGTGCTTCCATTTACCCGAGAGCTTCCCAGGCTTGTTTCTGGTTAGTCTTTCTGGTTAAAAAAAAAAAAAGTTTAAAAAATGAAGTGTTGGGCCTGGAAGAAACAAAATCAGGACAGGCAGGCTCGGACGTGTTCTGCCGGGAACACCCGAACAGTGTTTCAGAAATGCTCAAAAAGCCTGTTAGGATGATCGCATCCCACTTAAGTCCCTCCCCTCCCCAAACCCCACCCACTGTAAGCCCCATCCTCCAAATCTCCAGGTATTTCCCAACCTGGAGCTGGCAACACGGCTTAAAGATTATTCTCTGCTCCCAGCTGGAGAGCCAAGAGTGCATGGAATGGGGACTTCTGCAACCGGAATGAAGCCCAGAAGGAACCAGCCATGTTAGTCTGGAGTGGCAGAATAAAAGAGGCACCCAGTGGCACCTTAAAGACTGATGAAATCTGCGCTGACACCCGCTTTTAGGGTTGCCAAGTCCATCTTCCACCCCCAGCGGGGGACTTTGGGGGCGTTTCTGGAGGGGGCGGGGCATCCCTGACGTGATGATGTCATGTTGGGGACATCCGCCACCCCCCCACCTGCCCGTGCGCTGGATCTCCAGAAACGGCAGTTCCCTGCACTTAAAGGAGCCTGTGTTTCCCTTTTAAATGCAGGAGCCGGCGTTTCCCCTTTAAGAGCAGCCGCGTTTCCCTTTTAAGAGCACGAAGCTGGCATTTCCCTGCAAGCTTGCGGAGATCCGGCTTGGGAGGAAACACGGGTTCCACACACTTAAAAGGGAGAGAGATGGGTGGCTGTGGGTGTTGGGGGTGGGGCTTCCCCCAAATCGGGGGACCCCTGGCAACCCTACCCGCTTTCGGCAACCAGAGCTCAGTTCGGCAGATACACAGGAGTTCAATTCTATCAGGCCAATTTATATACACAACAAAAAGGGGGAGGGTGTTACAAAGAAGAAGAGGAGGAGGAGGAAGATGACGACGACGACGACGACATTGGATTTATACCCCACCCTTCACTACCTGAAGGAGTCTCAGAGCGGCTTACAATCTCCTTTCCCTTCCCCTCCCCACAAAGACACCCTGTGAGGTAGGTGAAGCCGAGAGAGCTCTTGAGAGAACAGCTCTGAGACAACTTGTGACTGACCCAAGGTCACACCAGCAGGTGCAAGTGGAGGCATGGGGAATCAAATCCAGTTCTCCCAGATTAGAGTCCGTGCTCCTCACCACTACACCAAACTGGATCTTCTCTTGAAGTGGCCTTTCTTTGTTTTATCCACCAATTCAGGTGGCCAGGCTAGATATGGTAAGGCAGGGGGCGCCTTATTCTGAATTCTAGAAAAAAACAAGCAATAGAAGAATCACTCGAGATGGATATTGTTACACTGTCCGTGCACAGTAAAGTTTTTCAGTCTCTCACCACTCTCTGCCCATCCCCGGAAAGCCAAGAAAGCGCATTGCTTCCTCCGAAGCTTCTCGGACCCCATTAAACCCAGCAGGTGCAACACCATGCAACCCTCAATGGAAAAGGAGTCAGCCCTGGTCACAAAAGCCATGGCTTGTGCTTATCGATTCCTTCCAGGCTGACATTCCTGAGGTGATTACTGCTGGAATGCTGAGTATTGGGCTTGGGAGTTGCTGGAATGCCGGGCCCTACATCCTGTACAACCGTCCTCCATGGAATTTTCCACTCCTTGATCACAGAAGGTCACAGCTCAGAGCTACTCAACACGCAACCTATTCTAACTGCCTCTTCTGCTGTGGGAATTATGAAACGCTTGCGGAACGCCTATCATTATGATGAGTGGGAATGTGTGTGCAAAGAAGGACCGCAACATAGCATCAAAGAATCATAGAGTTGGAAGGGACCTCCAGGATCATCTAGTCCAACCCCCATCACAATGCAGAAAATTCACAAATACCTCCCCCTCCACACCCCCAGTGACCGCTGTTCCACACCCAGAAGTTGGCAAAAAAACCCTCCAGGATCTCTGGCCAAACTGGCCTGGAGAAAAATTGCTTCCTGACCCCAAAGTGGCAATCAGCATTTCCCTGGGCGTGCAAGAAAGGGCCACAAGAACTAAGCACTGATGCAACCCTTCCTGCAGCCTCCCTCTCATGATCTGCCCAAGTTCACAGAATCCACATTGCTGTCAGATGGCCATCTCGCCTCTGCTAAAAACCTCCAGAGAAGGAGAGCCCACCCCTTTCCGTGGAAGCCTGTTCCACTGAGGGTCAGGAAGTTCTTCCTAATGTTTAGCCGAAAACTCTTCTGATTTCATTTCAACCGGTTGGTTCTGGTCCGACCTTCTGGGGCAACAGAAAACAACTCCACACCATCCTCTGTACAACAACCCGTCATGCACTTGAAGTACCCTGCATCACCTTTTTCTCCTGCCAAAAGAGTATACGGCACATGTTCACATAGGAGGAAATGGAAAAGGGGTGCTCTTGATAAACATCACTGGGGCACAGGATTCAACCTGCTCTTGGTCTGTGGCAGCAGGCAAGGTCTCCCCTGCCAACTA